AAACAACAAGGATATATGATTCACTGTGTTACACTGTGTCTGACTGTGTCCCTTGCTGGAAAGCACCCAATGATGGCCGCGGTCCGATTCACGATCACAGTTCTATCAGTGCTTACGACATTAATGGTCGGTCCGAAACAAATAGCGTGCTAAAGTTTGGCTGCTTTCCATTTGATGACACAAATCGACACAAATGTCGTTCTATCCTTCTTGATATTTAGAGAGTGACAAAGATAGAACGACACTGTGTCTCCTAAAAGGAAAGCAGCCTTTTTCTATTTTGGACCGGTCGTAAGCACAATTTATAAGTTAGAAAACGTAACCTGATGAAAGGCAAATGAAAAGCGTATGTATATATGGTTCGCATAATAGAAGAAATAATATCAAGAATATGAGTAAATATTAAATACTAAAAAAAGAAAAAATTAGGAATAGAGATTAAACGTAACGCACAATAAATACAATTAATAAAATATGGTTCACAAAATATGTATAATATGTCTCATATCCTATTTGTATCTATTAAGCATTTACACATTCATTTCCTTTAATTTTTTATTTCTAATATTTAATATTTATTCCTATATTTGGGAAGTTCTTAATCTTTTCTATTATATGCAGGACTTATATTATAACCTAAAAAGATAGATATCTCATCCGACGACCCTAACGCAGCCATCTTGTGTTCAGCTTGCCCTTTCTTTCTGAAATGTTCGAAACCGTTATTTTTTCCGCATTTCTGAAGTCACGTAATCATAGGCCTGTTCTTTTTGACTGAACTTTTGCACCAGTTCATCTTTTTTCCTCTTCTATCCTCCTAAAGAGAAAAGGAAGAAAGATGAACTGGTGCAAAAGTTCAGTCAAAAAGAACAGGCCTTTTTTTTCCAACCATAAGCAACCGTGAGCGCACTAATCACGCTATAAGCGTGAATCGGACCGCGGCCCTACATTGGTCGTATCGTAGACGTCGCAAGTCACAAACTTGTTGCTCAGCCAATCCGATGTTTCAATTTTAAAGTCGTATGATACTTACGACGCTTCCGACGCTACGATACGACCAATGTAGAATGGCCTTAATGGCTTATTGTAGAAGGCCTATTAAACCAAAGTTCAATTTGTTTCTCATCCAATTCTCGAATTGAAAAGAGACAATGAATAAGATGAATCTCGGTTAAGAATTAACCGTGAGTTGTGGAACTGGGCCTTATACTATTAAAACATTATTAAACTTGCATATCATTTTATTGCTAAATCGCATGATAAAAATCGTTGAATAAATATCATAATTACTTATGCCCGTTTCCACCAATGTAAATTAACTTTAATCTCGGTTCAACTTACTCTTCGTCTTTCTTTAGTTCTAAATATTAAAAAAAAGACAAAGAGCAAGTTGAACCGAGATTAAAATTAATCTACATTGGAAATGGGCATTAATAAAATATCTTTAATGCATGCGAGAAAAAAAAGAAAACGTGAGAGTTGGAGGGAGAAAGAACGCAACGGGAGGAAGAGAGCGTGAATAAGAAGTATAGAACTGCAACGAGTTGGAGAGAGAGAACTGCATCCTACAATGGGTGAGAGAGAGAGAGAGGGAGGGAGGAAGAGAGGGAGGGGGGGACGGAGGAAGGGACGGATACAAGGGAAAAACGCGCTGCACTTGCCCGAGGACCAAGAGTCTGTAACTACCTCCCCATAACCCGCTCGCCACCTGTTACATGCTGTTTCCGTGAATTAAAATCGGTATAGCTAACACACCCTTAACCTACTGTACGGCATGATGGCATTACAAAGGAATAGAACCAGTAATTGGATTAGGGAATATTACAATTCTGTGGGAGATAGAAAAATTAAATGCACGATTTGTCCTTACACTACAAATAACACATTAATATTAAAGGTACACTTATTTCGTGCTCATAAAATATTGCATGATGAAGACAGTGACTGCAGAAATGGCCCGATATGGGGTTATTTCACAGAAGAAGAACGGTACATTTTAAAATGTAAGATTTGTGATGTATCTCTTAAAACTGGATATCGCGTACACGAATTAACGAAGCATCTGAAACTAAAACATCCACAAATAATAGAAGAAATACAAAAAAAATTTAAAGACTCTTGGGTGTCAGCACATTACACATCAAACACATCAAATGAATATATACTACAGTGCAAGAAATGTTCTTACAAGTTCAATGTACTACAAAATGATATAGATACATTAGCGTACCATTTAGTGCAGCATGCCTTAAATAAAAAAACTAAAAAAAATAATGGCGAAAATAATATACAAAAAGATAGAAAAAATAAAAGTTGCGTATGGCAACATTTTAATAAAATCCAGAATAATAGGGCACAATGTAACATATGCCATAAAAGTTATTCGTGTAAAAGCACCGAACCTCTGAGAGTACATTTATTTTATGTTCATCAGATAACTCCTGATAAAGAAATAACCAAACGAAATAATCAAAGTGGCGTAATATGGCAATATTTCAAAAAAGAAGGAAGATACGCAACAAAATGTAAAATTTGTAACACTTCCCTTACACGTGGATCTTACGTAAGCCGGTTAAAAATACATATGAAACAAAAGCATCCAGAAATAATCGAGAAAATACGAAACAAATTTAAGCTTTCGTGGGTATCGGAAAATTTCGTATTGAACACATCCAACGACGCAGCACGATGCAAAATTTGTAGTAAGAAGTTTGACATATTTAAAGAAAAAGTGAGTGAATTAGCGAACCACTTGTCACAACATGGAATAAATAAAAAAACTACTAGAGGAAACGGCATGAAGATGAATCAACCAGAAGAAAATAACGAGTAATTTCTAAACAGACTGATACACATACCCGCATTTGAAAAAACAAAAAAAAATAACGGTAAATATTACAAATGCTTGCTTTTTTCTCTTCTTTGTCCCCAATTCCCTCTAGTATGCACTCACACATAACGAACACATAAGAAATCAAACATTTAGTATTTGTTTCTCATAAAGATTATAAATATCTCTCTCTCTCTCTCTCTCTCTCTCTCTCTCTCTCTCTCTCTCTCTCTCTGACATTTAAAATGCGTTTATAAAATTTTATCAATATTCCAGTTAAGTAGTTCCATTTAGTCAATATCAAGGTCAAACGATACAAATTTATAATAATATACGCAATACTTGAATAATTAATAACTAATGGCTGTTCAGGCAATTTATCTATTGCAGTAATTTTAGAGTCAAGCATTTTTTATTTCCACATTAGTATTGGATACTAAACATTCAATTTTTTAAATATTTCAATGATAAGAATTCCAGCTTTGATACGATAATAAAATAATGTACTTTAGTAAAAAAGTTAACTTTGTAGTACTAATTACAATTGTATATTTCAACTTTTTAATCTATTGTTTATTTCGTTTGTATTTGCAGATTCACTTTTCAATAGGCTACACCACAGATACCAATAGATTATGAAAATGAGGAGTGAAGCATCAGCAGTCTTAACTGGTTGTTAACTGGAACCATTAAATGAACTACCACATTTCACGAATCAAATATCAACTTTCTAATAAGCATGCTGTTCATCAATTGTATTATTAATAATTTTTTATGTTAATTAATCATTATGTACGTCAAAAATTTTTAATTTTTTCTACAAATGAATTTTTTATACATCAAATATAATGTTTGTAAATCAGATATAATGTACGAAAATTTCAAGGTCCATTTGGTACATATTTACTAAAATATATTTAAGAGTTAAATATTTAGTAAAAGATGGCTGTTCAAGCAATTTATCTATTGGAATAATTTTATAGTCAAGCATTTTCCATTTCCATAATATTTGATGCTAAACACTTAATATTTATATAATTAGAATTCCAGCCTTGATGAGATTATAAAATAATGTACTCGAGTGTGTGCGACACTCAACTTTGTATTACTAATCACTTGTCCCAACATGGAATAAATAAAAAAACTACTGGAGGAAGTGACACAAATGCGAATCAATCACAAGGAAA